CTCTAACGTCGAGCTGCTGTACGGCCGGAGGGTTCGGGGACCCCTGGATCTCCTACGCAAACACTGGGAGAGAGCAGTGGCCGAGGAGGGGACCTCAGTGGTGGCCTATGTGCTGGAGCTCAGGCAGAGGCTACAACGGTTGACGACCCTAGTACGAGACAACCTTGAGGCCACCCAGAGCTGACAAACGGTGGTACGACCGGTCTGCCTGAGACCGAACGTTTCACTTTGGACAGAAAGTGTTGGCTTTGAAACCAGTCAGGCATGACAAATTACAGGCTGCTTGGCAGGGCCCGTACCGAGTGGTGGAGCAACTGTGTGATACCACGTACATTGTAGCTTGCTGTTCAGATGGAAGGAACCGGCGAACCTTCCATGTGAATATGCTGAAACCGTTCATCGAACGACAGGAGGAGAGTGTAGCTGCTATTTGCACTCCGGCTACCGATGACTCAGAAACGCTTCTTCTGCCGCAGCTGCCGATGGACGGACAGTCCCAGCTGAGTGTAGCAGATGTAGATATCAGCACACGGCTGCCTCCCAAGGCGCAGGAACAGGCTTGCCCAACTGCTCCGAGGGATGTTCTCGTCTCTGCCGAGTACACCACAACTGCCCACCGGGTAGACATGCAGGGTCAGGCCCCCCTGAAGCAGGCAGCCTACTGAGTGCCTGAGTCCATCAGAGAAGGGATGAGAAGAGAGATTAAGGAAATGTTAGATTTAGGTGTGATAGAACGCTCTGACAGTCCCTGGGCCTCCCCAGTAGTCCTGGTACCTAAGAAGGATGGAACCGTCCAGTTCTGTGTGGACTACCGCAGGCTCAATGACCGGACCGTGACCGATGCATACCCCATGCCCCAGATAGATGAGCTGCTGGACCGGATGGCCAGAGGTAATTTTCTTACCACTATCATTCTCCTGCGCCTATCTAGATGATATAGCTATCTACAGAGATAGTTGGGAGGATCACCTCCAACACCTCCGGGAGTGTTTGATCGCATTGGGCAAGCAGGGCTGACCATCCGGACAAATGCCATGTTGAGGTGTCCGAGGTCCAATATCTAGGACATCGGGTGGGATGTGGGAAGCAACGACCGGCACCGGCAAAGGTGGAAGCGGTAGCAAATTGGCCCACTCCCCGAACCAAGACCACCCAGGTCCTTGCCTTCCTAGGTACTGCCGGGTACTACCGTAAATTCATCCCCGACTACAGCGCCATTGCTAAACCCCTAACGGATCTGACCCGGAAGAATCTGCCCCGACAGGTTGTGTGGTCCCCAGAGTGTGAAATGGCTTTCCAAAAGCTCAAACATGACCTGATCCATGCTCCCGTTTTGGCTGCTCTTGACCCTTCCAAACGGTTTTGTGTTCACACAGATGCCTCCACCTTTGGATTGGGCGCTGTTCTGAGCCAAATTGGGGATAACGGGAACGACCATCCAGTGGCCTACCTAAGTAGAAAGTTGTTACCCCGGAGGTGGCCTATGCTGCTGTGGAGAAAGAGTGTCTTGCCTTAGTATGGGTCCTCAAGAAATTGCAGCCCTACCTGTACGGGCGCTCCTTCACCGTACTCACCAATCACAACCCCCTGGTATGGGCTAAACCAGATCTCCAGGGACAATGGTCGTCTGCTGGAGCTTGGCCCTCCAACCTTATAACTTTACCATCCGGTACCAGCCAGGGAAGCAAAACGCCAACTCAGATGGGTTGTCCCGGCAAGCCGAGTTGGAGAAGTGACCCTCTGAACCGACCAGCCCCAAGCGGACCCGTTTGAAGGTCTCACCAGGTCTGGCGGGTGTTACACAACGGGGGAGCCTTGTGACGAACTGTGCCTTTGTGATAACATTTTGCCCTTTCTGTTCCGGTTTCCTCCCCTTTGTAAAGATGTTTATGTTTCACAGACATTCTACACTGTTTGTTTAGGGAAATGTGACCTTGTAGTCTTTCACTTCTATAGAGTTCATACTGTATTGTTGGGATGTATGTTTGTTGTGGGTGGAGAAAACCTGGTGCCAGACTGTCTGGTGGGGGTGGGGGGGTGAGCTGTATACTGAGTTGTGTTCAATAAAGAGTCATTCATTTTCACCCTACACGAAGTTCCGGCATTCATTCATTCACCCTACACGAAGTTCCGACTCGTGGTTTGGGAGAGCAGGGAAGGGAGTGTTTTGAACTATAATACCTGCCTTGGAAGAGCGCTGGAAGACTTGCTGGAAAAGGGGACCATTAGCTGAGACGCATCGCTCTGCACGAAGGAGCCCAGGTGGAATGGTTCCGCCACATAGCCTCAGGTAGGTGGCCAGGAAAGAGCTCTCGGGGATCGGCTCCCGATTGGTCGGGTTGGATGGATTCTGGAATGCCTTTTATTGGATGTTGTTACGCCGTGATCTATCCTCCAGAGCTGACACTTTATGTTTCAGCCAATCTCTTTCTTCATCCCTTTGGTGGTGGGCGTGTCTACTAGGGTGGTACAGGAAGGGGCGGAGTCTCCCAGCTCTGTGGCGGAGATCCTTCATCTCTGATTGGTTGCAGAGTGAATGATAGGTGACGGTATGGATGATGTCTCCTTCATGAATGGATGAGAAATAGGCGGACTAGTAGGAGGAGACTTACCCATTGGATGGGAGAAATGACTTGCAGAATGGGAAGTATTAGTGGGAGAATCTGTCCCAGCATGCTGTGGGCTCATATCTGTCATTCTACGCAGAGGAGACCGGCTGCAGGAGGAGAGAGCGCTGACACCTGCTTAACAAGGTGTCACAGGAGAAGCTGTGTCCTGAGTGAGAGGAGGAGGATCCTGAGCTGCTGCTGCCACCATGTTGGGGATGGCTGGTTTGCCCCTGAGGGGAGGAGTTTCCTCTCAGCTTTTCTCTTCTTTGTCATCTCCCTGAGGGTCACCGGGCTGTTGACTCTCCTCTGGGGTGTCAGCTCCGCCCACTGCTGTGTGCTGGAACTGTGAGTACAGAAGAGCTGGGGGGGATGCAGCCAATCAGACTACTCCGGACACTCCCACAATCAGGGGATTTTGGGATGTTTAAAAATGACAGTTATTATTGACAGTTGACAAAGAAGAGTTATTTTTTGTCAGTTGAAAGTAACAGCTGAAAAATGACAGTTATTATTGTCAGTTCAAAAATGACTGTTTAAAAATTACAGTTATTTTTGACAGTTGAAAAATGACAGTTATTTTTTGTTAGATGAAAAATGTATTTTTAACATTTTGAAAAACTGGCAATTGAAATATTAGGGTTTTTGACAGTTTCAAAATGACAGCTATTTTTTGTCTTAAAAATCAAGTTTTTTTGACAGTTGAACAATGACTGTTATATTTTTTTTATTTTGTCAAGAAATTACAGATTTTTTTTGTCAGTGGCAATAACATGACAGTTGAAAAATTAGGATTTTTTTGACAGTTGAAAAATGACAGTTAATTTTTTACAGTAGCAAAAAATGACAGGTAGTTTTTGACAGTGGAAACAATGGAAATTGAAGAATGATGGTTTTTTGACAGTTGAAAAATGACAGTTATTATTTGTCGTTAAAAATTATTATTTTGTTTACAGTGGAAAAAATTACATTTAACTGTTGAAAAAACGACAGTTATATTTGACAGAAAATGAGGGTATATTTGAAAAATGACTGTTTTTTTACATTGGCAATAAAATGCAGATAATTTTTGACAGTGAAAAAAAAAAAAATCACATTTAAAAAAAGAGGGTTTTTTTTGTTAGTTGAAAAATTACAGGTTTTTTTTTAGTTGAAAAAGTACAGTTTTTTCTTACAGAGGCAAAAAAAATTTTGTCAGTTAAAAAACAAAATTTATTTTTTGACAGTAGAATAATGAGGGATTTTTTTGTCAGTAAAAAAAATGACAGTGGCAACAATGACAGTTATTTTTGACAGTTAAAAAATGGTGTTTTTGTCATCATTTAAAAAAAAATTGTTATTTTTTTTTTGTCAGTTGAAAAATTAGTTATATTTGACATTTGAAAGTGACAGTTAATTTTTTACAGTAGCAAAAAATGACAGGTAGGTTTTGGAAATGGAAAAAATGGCAATTGAAAAATGAGGGTTTTTTGACAGTTGAATAATGACAGTTATTTTTTGTCGATAAAAATTATTTATAATTTTTTTTACAGTTGAAAAAATACATTTAACAGTTAAAAAACAACAGTTATATTTGACAGTAGGAAAATGTTTTTTTTTAGTTAGTGGCAATAAAATGCAGATAATTTTTGATAGAGAAAAAAAAAATCACATTTAAAAAAAGAGGGTTTTTTTGTCAGTTAAAAAATGACAATTATTTTTGACTTTTTTTTACAACAAAATTTTTTACTGTCAAAAAACCCTTTTTTTTTAATTGACACTTTTTCCACTGTCAAAAATAACTAATTTTTCTACTCTAAAATATAACTGTTGTTTTTCAAAAATAAAATTTTAACTGACAAAAAAGTCATTTTTAAAATGTAAAAAAACCCATAATTTTTCAATTGTCATTTTATTGCCACTGACAAAAATAACAGTCACAAGCATGCATCCAGTGAAGGCGGAACACTCGGACCTCCTGCATGCTTGTTCCTGGTCAGTGACACACTAGGGAGTGAAGTGAGGTTTAGGATGAAGATGACGGCCCCGGAACCTGCAGCTTTCTCCACAAAATCACTCCTGTTTCCTGCCCCTTCCTCCTATTGGCTGAGTATTGCACCAATCACCAATCACATCATCCCCCTTGTGATGTCTCTGGGCGGATCTCTCACTTCTGGCTCCTCCCACATATCTTTATATAACCTCCCACTACAAATACCCCGGCATGGAGGGGCTGAGTGAAGGTGGTGGTGAAGGTGTGGAGGTGTCGGATCGGGTCACACAGATCATAGAAGGAGATCCGCCCGGCCTCATAATCCAGATCTATCCTGACTCTGGTACTGGAGACACCGCCGGGGAATGGGGTCTTCTTCCTGTCATGTATCACTGAGTACTGATTACCCCCCAACAACCCCTCCAACCCCCAGGACTTCTTATTACATCCAATCACTGACTGATCTCCTCTCCTGTCTATATTGGGGTAACACATCCCGACTCTCCACAACCGCCCCCCCCCGACATCCACGTCCCAGTAATGTCTCCCGGAGGAGAAGCTCTGACTGCTCATCACCTGAGGACCCTGGAACCTCTCTGGTGTTTCTGGCCGATTCTGATGTGATGATGACCAGGATGCAGTTTTCCCATCATCTGATATATGTAGATCATTACCAGCTGTCCTCACATCCAGTAATATGTCTGTAACCCCCACACACCCCCCATGTTGCTGTACAGCCCCAATATTTGGTCCTCCAGTGGGGGAGGGTTTGAGGCGTTTCCTTGATGGTGGACCATTGATGGGACCTTTGCCCTTTGTAGTAGAATGTGGAGAGACATGTGTGCCTGTACATTCTGTACATTGACCCCAGACATGATATCAGATAAACCCGTGTGTAATGTGTGTGAGATCCCCCCCACATCCCCATCCCCTCCATCATGGAGGAGGTTCTCATATCTCTCTCTGTCCTCATCATCTCCATCCTCAGTATCACACAAGTCACCTGTGTCTGATTCCTGTAGGACAGTCAGTGGATCCGTCATGTTACACAGCTTCTCAATGTCCCTCATCTTCCTGGACAGCTCCTCCTTCTTTATTTCCAGATCCCGAATATAATCCAACATGGGACGGGAGACCGCTCTGCCCACCCGGAGATGTCCCTCAGGACTCTCTTCTCCAGGTCTTCCAGACGTCTCCTGAGGTCTCTGAACAGGGCAGTGACTCTCTTGGTTTCATCATCTGCTTTTCCTTGTACTTTCCTCCTGCGTTCCTGCAGACTCTGGACTCTTTTCTCTCTGTCTCCTCTCTCTCTGTCATCAGTTTCTGCAGAACATTCCTCAGTTTTTTCTTCTTCATCTCAGAGGCCTCCTCCAGAGTCTCCACCTGGTGTCCCCGATGTTCTCCATCCAGCCTGCAGTACACACAGATACAGGTGGAGTCCTCGGTGCAGTAATACTCCAGGATCTTCTTATGGACGGAGCATTTCCTGTCCTTCAGGGAAGTGGTGGGGTCACATAGGACATGTTCTGGTGACTTGCTGTGGACTCTCAGGTGGTTGTCACACAGAGAAGCTTCACAATGCAGACAGGATTTCACAGCAGGTACAGGAGTGTGAATACAGTAAGTACAGAAGACCCCGGACTCCTCCTGCTCTGGATGGGTAGACTGGAAGTTCTCCACTATGTTATGTAGCTTCAGATTCTTCTGAAGGATGGGACGTTTCTTGAAGCTTTGATTACATTCAGGACAGGAATAACCTCCAGACTCCTCCTGCTCTGGATGGGTAGACTGGAAGTTCTCCACTATGTTACGTTGTGTTATGTTCCTCCTCAGTGCAGGACGGTCCTGGAACTCTTCTCTGCATTCAGGACAGGAATAACATCCAGACCCCTCCTGTGTATCCAACACACGGCCAATACAGTCCCGGCAGAAGTTGTGTCCACATCTCAGGGTTACAGGATCTGTATAAATGTCAGACAGACGGAACATTCCAGCTCCTTCCTCAGATCAGAAGACGCCATCGCTGAGAGCAGAAGACAGAATGACGGGGAAAGTCTCTGACACTCCGTATCCAATGTGACCCGTTCTGTACACTCCTACACGGGGCGAGGTGTACATTCCTACACAGGGAGAGGCTGGGACTGAGACACGTAGCTAGAAGAATTCTTCTACAGAAGGACACAGACATGTAATAAGTAGTGATGGGTCCAACACCCCCCTGTTCGGTTCGCGGTCCAACATTCCAACTTGACGAAAGTTCAACCGCAAACTTCGAACTCAATGCAAATCTATGGGACTGGAACTTGTAAATGGAAAAGTGTCCATTCTGAAGGCTTTTATGCCAATTATTGGCCCCAGAAGTGGTATGGGGACTTGGGGATGGCCCTGAGGGACAGGAATCATAAAAAAATTGAAAAATGTAATTATCATGTCTGGGGGGTCCCCATAAACTCCCTGCAAAGTTGCACATCTGTACAATGTATAGGTCCCCCCTAATCCATAACAGACCCTTTAGGTCCGGTGGGAAGGTTAGGGGGGACCCCACAGTGACATTTTTTTTTAAAGTGCTTGGGTTCCCCGTAAAAGCCAAACCAGGCCCTTTAGACCTGATAGGCCTTCTAAGAAGAACTTCACCCCCCAAAAAATAGATGGAAAAAGTGTGGGGTCCCTCCTAACTTCCTACCAGACCCTTGATCCGAACACAGGCCTGGCAGGCCTGAAAGGGCGGGATGAAAAAGTGGCCCTCCCCTCCCCGGGCCTTACCAGGCCAAATGCCCTCAGCATGGAGACAAGGGCCTCTTCCCAAAAACCCTGGTTGTGGGGGTCTGCAGCCGGGGGCTCATTAGCATCAGGGTACCCCTTTTAAAGGGGGCACCCTGATGCTGCCCCCTTGTGAATGAGTAAGGGGTACAAAATAAATAAAATTGGTCCTTGGGTGTTGGTGGTGCCTGAACACTGTATCCCCTCACGCAGTCACTCTTGCTGGGCGCAGGCAGGGGCCCCCGCAGTTAAAAATTGGTAACAATTACAGAAGAAAGATGGTAAACAAACATTGAAATGACATGCACCTGTGAAACGGGGGCCAAAAGTATGCCTTGAGTGTTGGTGGGGCCCTAAACCAAACAAATAGTTGGAAGCGACCATAATCAGGATTGAGGAATAGGATAGGCAGCATAGGCAGTCTTCAAGGGATCCCAGATCCCTAACAAATGGGATCAGTTACATCAGCATCAGGGACAAGATAGTTGCTGTTGATCCAGGACTGATTCATGGTGATAAATGTCAGCTGGTCAGCGGAGTCTGTGGACAGACGCACTCTTTTATCCGTCACAAAAACCTCCAGCAGCACTGAATGTCCGTTCGGAAAGCACGCTGGGTGCAGGACAGGTCAGTAGCTGGATGGCATATTGAGCAAGTTCTGGCCAGTGATCCATCCCTCAAGACCCAGTAACCCAGTGGATGTTCAGCTGGAAAGGTCTCCAAGTCTGCTCTTGTTCCTAGATAATCCTGCACCATATGATGCAGACCCTGCCGATGGGTGCTTTAAACCTAACAGCCCTGGGCACTGAGGACTAAATAACTTTTTAAAGGCATCAGTCAGCCGGCCACCTTCTCCACCGCTCTTCCTTTGACAGAACAAAGCCTCAGAAACACACGTTGTCCAGGAGAAATGGTAACCTCCCATTGTCTGGAAAGGTTCTACACAAATGTTTTTTCATGTGCGTCCTCAAGATGTTTCATCCCTCTGCTCCCTCTGTGAAGACTGGATGAGCTCTGCAAACTTCACCCTTGTAACGTGGATCAAGAAGGGTAGCCAACCAGTATTGATCCCTCTCCTTGATACCATGAATCCTCAGGCCCTTATGCAGGCTTTGCAGAGTCAGTGAGCCCATGGGACATGTGGATGGGTGGGACATGTGGATGGGTGGGATGGGATGGGTGGGATGTGGATGGGTGGGGCATGTGGATGGCTGGGACATGTGGATGTGTGGGACATGTGGGATGGGCGGGACATGTGGATGGGCGGGGCATGTGGATGGGGGGGGACATGTGGATGTGTGGGACATGTTGATGGGCGGGACATGTGGATGGGTGGGGCATGTGGGATGGGCGGGACATGTGGATGGGTGGGACATGTGGGACAAGTTGGGTGGGACAGTATTTTTTTTCACGGTTCAGCAAATGGGGTAGTGAAATGTTCCTGCTGAAATGATCAGGTGGTGTACTGCTATCAGATGGGGTGCAGGACCTGTGGCCCCCATTGCTGTACCATCACTCCTCTCAGTGGAGGCTGTTGAGAAGACCGGATGTATTACAGAGGAGGTAGAGATCCCAGATGAGGACCAAGAAGAAGTCTGCACTGTTTTCGGATGTGGGGTCTTTCAGGTGCTGTTGCCAATGGGTTGCATGTTGGCTCGTCATATGTCTGGTCCAGCATGTGGTGCCCAAGCGGCTGGTGTTTTGGCCACGCTTGATCTGCTTCAGACAGAGACTACAAATAGCAATGCTGCGGTCTGCTGCACATGTGTTGGGATAAGCCCACCAGCAGAGAAACTTGTGGAAGTCTGCATGGAGTCAGCAGTGCCCCGCCCCTGAGGAGCTCTGTCATGTGATGCCATCGGTTGGCTGTCCCTTACAACCTGTCCCTGGAGGACATCCTGCCTCGTTTGAGTTCTGCCTCCTCCTCACTGTCCTCCTCTGTTCTCTCACCCCAAGTACAGTCAGTGACCTCATCATCCCATCCTCCTCATCACTGGAGCCAGCTTGGCAGTGTGCTGTGGCTGGGGGAACATGACATTTTAAATATATATTTGAGCATTTGTCACTTTGAATTGTTTGGAGTGATATCACTTATCCATATGGAGTCATACCACTGGGGCAGACCAGGAGTTTGTTTTCTCACATGTATGTATTTATGATATATTTATTTATATATGTATTTGAGCACTTGCACTTTGAATTGCTTTGAGTGATATTACTTATCATTTTTCACCTATCTGGTTTGCCATTGGGTGGCAGATCAGGAGCTCGTCCTTCACATTTATGATATTCCATTTATTTTGGTCATTATATATGAGCACTTAGTCACTTTGACATTATTAGTTTGGCCTTATATATTGTATTTTTATTATTGATTATTTACTATTTTAATGGGTATTTTAGTGTAGATTTATTTTCATGCTGAGCGCTTCATCCAATTGTGTTATATATTTCATTGTCCTGTGGTATAGGGAATAGGTGTTAGCAGCTGGCATTAGAATTAGGTGCTCTGTGGAGCGCAGGAGGACATTCTTTTATACTTTTAAGTGAGAGGTATAGATGGGGAGATAGACCAGGAAAATATTTAATGAGACCCTTGAGGAAAAATCAAAACAGGAAATATATAGGAAAAATAAGAAACCCTAAGGGAGAAATGGTTTATTCGACTAAAGAGATCGCTAGGGTGTTTAAGGAATATTATAGCAAGCTGTATAATATTACCCCCCAGGATTCAGTAAATAAAAGTGGAAATATGAGTAGAGAAAAAAGAAGGGTATATTTAAAAAACACAGGACTACCGAAGCTAAGCGAAGAACAACTGAATTCCCTTGATTTAGAAATTACGCAGGAGGAAATAAAAATAGCAATAAAAAGTACCATGACGGGAAAAGCCCAGGCCTAGATGGTTATACTGTGAGGTATTATAAAAAATACAGCGAACTGTTAATACCTAAATTGAAGAAATATATGACCGCCCTGGGTGGGGAGATGGAGATGAGCCAAGAATCTTTACAGGCCCATGTGGTGCTTATCCAAAAGGAAGGGAAGGATGCTTCTCAGTGTTCTAGTTATAGACCAATTTCACTTTTGAACACAGACACTAAATTATATGCAAAGGTTTTAGCAAATAGGTTGAAAGATTTAATGCCAGAGTGGATCCAAGGGAACCAGGTGGGATTTGTACCGGGGAGAGAAGGTAGAGACAATGGGTTGAGAACTCTGTTGCTTATTTAGAAAGTTAGGAAGGGGAAGGCTCCGACGGTGGTGCTTTCAATCGATGCAGAAAAGGCATTCGATAGAGTAGACTGGAGCTTTATGATGGACACTCTGGAGACATTAGGACTGGGAGTTAGAATGAGAGAATGGATAGGTAAATTGTATAGAGAGCCCTCCGCGGTTATTTTGGTTAACCTAGTGAGGTCGGCACCTATTGGGATGGCAAATGGAACAAGACAGGGCTACCCACTGTCCCCATTGTGATATGTATTGACATCGGAACCTTTACTGGCAACAATTAGGAAAAATATAGATATAAAAGGAATACAGATAGGAGGAATTGAACACAAAGTGGCAGCCTTTGCGGACGACCTGCTGTTCTATGTGGTAAACCCCAGGATAACACTCTCAAATTTAATGAAGAGTCTAAAGGAGTATGGGGAGTTAGCAAATTTAAAATCAACCCAACAAAAACTGAGATCTTAAATGTAAATCTACCAAATAATGAAAAAGAAAAGATACAAATAGAATTTCCTTTTATATGGAAAGATAGAGAGATAAAATATTTAGGGGTTAAACTCACTGCTTCACATATGGATTTGTATGAGATAAATTATATCTCACTTTTA